AGAGAGAGAGAGAGAGAGAGAGAGAGAGAGAGAGAGAGAGAGAGAGAAAGAGAATCATGTGGTGCAGATACCTAAAGAGGCCACAGGAGGGCATTCAAATCCATTGGCACTAGAGCTGCAGGCAGTTGAACCCCTAGAAATGGGTATCCTAGCAGGGCTGCAAGGGGACTCCTGAGCTGCCTCTCCAGTCCAAGAGTGATTTCATATGTAAATGTTGGAGTGTTGTTAGAACCAACCACCAAGGTCACCCCATAAAGGCTCAAGAATTGGCTTTAATGCTCGGAAGTGGAGCTGCTGGGACAAACTATCTCACACCCACCATCTTTACCTGGACGTATCCTTATCCTCCGTCTAGAAAGGAAGACATAGCCTGAGCTGACTAGGGATATATCACTGGTTCTCTGAGCATCACCAGCCCAGAGCTTCCATGTGCTAGGGAAATACGTGGTAACGCAGCCAGCCAGACCCATAGCCTGCACTGCAAGGGCTGGCAGAGCCGTCCCTTCCTTCTCTCTCACATGTTGGGTTCTAAGCCCTTTCTAGTCCAACTTCTAAAACCTACATTAAGGCTGATTTCTCTTCTCCGCAGATGTTAGATTCTTTAAACACATAGTTCTAGGTGGCATGGATTTGCTAGGTAAGTCATAGGTTGCCAAAGCCCTTGGCCCTATCCTTTGTACTCCTGACTCTTTTTCAGGGGTTAATCAAACCATTCCACTCAGTGGCAGTTTGGGGGTATAGTACATCGATGACCTTTCAAAACCCACTGGGCTGAGTTAATCCCGAGGGTCAGGCCTATGGTATTCTACTGTCTAGTCTCATGAACAATTAATTAGGTTTCAATAGCTTAATCTACTTCGAGATGAGTTTCCAGTGACTGCCTTCACCTCCCTCTGGTGGTGGAAGCCTCTCCCACACAAGGCTGAACCTGAAGTTCTGTGGATTTAGACGCAGCTCTGAACTCGGCAAGGACAGGGAAGTGCACAGTTCAGTCTTATGGTTTAACTGCTTAGGGAAAGTCTCCCTTAGTCCCAGGTTAGGTTTCCCTGGGCAGATATTCGCTTCGCTGATTCTGAATGATTGCATTTTCGCCACAGTCTAAAGAGCCTCATTAGTAGTGACAACGTACAACCTAAGATGAGAGTGACGGTCCAGTTTTCCTAGGAATTGTTGGGCATTAACTTTGTGCTGGTCCCTGTTTACAGCACCTTTCATATGAACTTATTTACACACTAAGCCAATTGTGAGGCGTTGCTATGATTGTTGCCCCCATTTCTCACAAGGCTCTTTCACCATTTCTCATATGTTATAAACTAGAAAAGCAAATACTTATCTCTCAGATTTATCCACATGACATTTGTATGTCAGCTGAATCTGTAGGGACCTTAATGAGGCCCTGGATGCATTGCAGCAGCTCAATCAGTTCCTTGGAGGAAAGGGAGTTGTGTGTCCTCTGTAGGGCAATCAACAAATCCCATTCCGAACATCTAAACCTGAACTTTGGGGAATTTAACAGTAACAGAGGGGGCAGCTTCCAAATAGGATCACAGAAGAGAAAGAATCTAGGGTGATATCATAAATGTATACACTACAAAAGAGTGGCTGCCTTTGATGGTTTGCCAAGAACTAGGGAACTTCTGAGCATATGGGAAGGGATGGGGAAAATGAAACAAGCTAACCTATCTTACAAAGACACTGAGTTTTACCATGAATGGCCAGAAAATATAGGAATTTCTTGTCTCACTCCAAGACAACTCCTGGTTCACTGGTGCTCATCATCCTCACAACACTGAACTAGGTGAATGTACCTATGAGGGTCTACATCCTTCTGAAAGGTTGTCCAATTGGGCTTAGTGCAAAGGAGGGAAAGCCCTGCTTCATATCAATAGTAATGGAATTGTGAAATTTATTATCATCAAAAGGTAGAACTAGACCGTGAGCGGTGACTTATACCTATAATCTCAGTACTTTACAAGCTGAGGCAGGAGGATATCTGTGAATGTGAGGCTTTCAGGGTTATATAACGAGTTCCTGGCCAACCTACGCCATAGAATCCCCATCACCAAAAACAAGGCAAAATCAACCCAAAAGATACAGACCTGAGCAAGCAAAATAGTCACAAAAATTTAGGTGAACTTACTGAACTACTGGATTGTTGTTGTTGTTGGTTGCTGTTGTTTTGAAAAAGGAGAGGACTGACTCCAGCCAGGCAAGGAGGTAGACCTGTCTCATCTCCAGGTCTGCAGCAGAACACCTGCACTGGTCTCCCTTCCTCTCTGACCTCCATCTCCAAAGGATCACCTAGACCTTCTCCTCCCACCTTCCTTTGCCCCACTCATTACTCTATCCCATCCCCCAACTCCCTCAGGCATACCCTGGAAACATGCTGGCCTAGCAGACCAGGGAAACAGGTAGCCTGACTGCAGAGTCTCACCTCTCCTCCTTTCCTCCAAATCTAATCACCAGGACTCACCCCATCTCTGTAGCAGATCTCATGCAGCATAATTTACCTCCTTCAGCAGTTTAGGTGTATCTTCTCCAACATTCCTACCCATTCATCCTGTTAGCACAGCCCCCAGCTCCAACAGTACTCCCTAGGGGCACAAACCTGTCAGGCAGGCCAGCTTCTGATGTTCCCTTTCTCTTCCCTCCCGCATATCTAAGCCTCTAGTCTCAGCCCCAGTTCTGTAGCAGACTATCTGTTGTGGCCTCTCCTCACTCTCTGCCTCCTTCCTAGGGTATTACGTAGATCCTGGTGGAATATCTTGCTTTCCTTCCTCCTGTGGACCCCTCAAACCCAACTTTTTAGCCCATCCACATTGCTAAGTGTTAAGTGTTAGCTCCCAACACCTAAAACCACATTTTACCCAGAACTCCCGGCCCCCGTAGCCTGCCTATCTATCTATCTATCTATCTATCTATCTATCTATCTATCTATCTATCTATCAGGATTCCAGAAGAATTCCCTACCAGGCAGTTACCATACTCTCCGAAGAACCACATATGACAACAGAAACCAAGAAACAAAACACCCTCCCAACAAAGAAAGACCAGATATCAGTACCTAAGAATTACAGTCTTTCCAAACCCAGATATCTAAACTGCAGTGTGAAAACACAATAACAACCAGGACAATATGTCTCTGTTAGAGCCTAGCAACACCACCACAGTAGTCCCTGAGTATTGCAGCATATCTGAAGCACAAGACAAAGACCTTAAGACAGGCTTTATGAATATGCTGGAGCTCCTTAAATAAGAAATGAATAAATTTTTTAAAGAAATCTACAAAAACACAAACAGTGGAAGGAAATGAATAAAACACTTCAAAAGCTGGAAATGAAAAGAAAATCAACAAAGAAAACTCAAACTGAGTGAAATTTTTTTGGAACTTGAACAAGAACCTCAGAGGCAAGTCTCACCAACAAAATATAAGAGATAAAAAAGAGAATCCCAGACATACAAGACACAATAAAAGAAATGGATATCTACATGTAGAAAAATGCACATAGATCCATACTTATCACCCTGCACAAAACTAAAGTCCAAGTGGATCAAAGACTTCAACATAAAAGCAGACACACTCAATCGGTTAGAAGAAAAAGTGGGGAAGAGCCTAGAACTCATTGGCATAGGAGACAACTTCCTGACCAGAACACCAGCAGTACAGACTCTATATCCTATATAGGCACCAAACCTTTATCTGACAGAGGGCTAACATCCAGAATATGCAAAGAACTCAGGAAGCTGAACAGCAACAAATGAATTAATCTGATTTTAAAATGTGGTACAGAGCTAAACAGAGAATTCTCAATAGAAGAATATCGAATAACAGAGAAACGCTTAAAGAAATGCTCAACATCATTACTCATCAGGGAAATGCAAATCAAAACAACCCTGAGATTTCACCTTATACCAATCAGAATGAATAAGATCAAATATTCAAGTGACAACACATGCTGAAGAGGATGTGGAGAAAGGGGAACCCTCCTCTTTTTCTGGTGAGAATGTAAACTTGTACAACCACTTTGGAAATCAATTTGGTGCTTTCTCAGACAATTAAGAATAGCGCTACCTCAAGATCCAGCTATACCACTCCTAGGTGTATATCCAAAAGATGCTCAAGTACACAACAAGGACATTTGCTCAGCCATGTTATTAGCAGCTTTATTCATAATAGCCAGAATCTGGAAACAACCCAGATGTCCCTCAATTGAAGAATGGATACAGAAATTGTGGTACAGTTATACAATGGAATACTACTCAGCAATTAAAAACAAGGAAATCATGAAATTTGCAGGAAAATGGTGGGAACTAGGAAAGATTATCTTGAGTGAGGTATCCCAGAAGCAGAAGACACACATGGTATATGCTCACTTGTAAGTGGATATTAGACATATAGTATAGGATAAACATACTAAAATCTGTACACCTAAAGAAACTAAGCAAGAAGGAGGACCCTAGGTAAGATGCTCAATCTTCATTCAGAAAGGCAAATGGGATAGTCATCGGAAGAAGGTGACACTAAAGAACAAGGCAGGAGCCCACCACAGAGGGCCTCTGAAAGACTCTACCCAGCAGGGTATTAAAGCAGATGCTGAGACTCACAGCCAAACTTTGGGCAGAGTGCAGGGAATCTTATGAAATTAGGGGGAGATAGAAAGACCTGGAAGGGTCTGGAGCTCCACAAGGAGAACAACAGAACCAAAAAATCTGGGCCCAGGGATCTTTTCTGAGACTGGTTCAGATGGGAGGGGACCTGGAGAGGAACTGGGGGCAGTGGAAGGTAGGAAACTGTAATGAGGATATATTACATGAAAAGAAAATCTATTTTAATTAAAAGAAAGCTTAAAAATGCTTAACAGACATAAATAAAAGCCATGTTACATACCAGCATGTTGGCACCAGGGAGGTTAATAATTTCTAAAGGTGAAATCTCCTAAGATTGCTGGCCAGTCAGTCGAGATGGATTCAGCGAGAGACACTGTCTCAAAAAAAAAAAAAAAATAGGTAAACAGCAATTGAAAAGGACACCTGGTATTACTTCTGGCCTCTGCATTCTTGTGCATACATATGCACCAGAACACACATGCACATGTGCAAACACATCACATTTCCATACACACATACATACACACACATGAAGACACAAATACATACGAAAACTGTTTCCCAGACTAGAGTTCTATTCGAATCTTCATATTAGGGCCTATTGGTGGTACAAAGCATCAGGAAACTACAAATAAACCCTATTTGGTATAATTTTATTAATCATACCCTTACTAACCCTCAGCAGGAAACAGACACGGTGGAGACAACACTGTCTAGACAGCTGCTAAACGGATTAGTAAAGGTGACTTCACACATTTATTCTCTAATGACAATGAAGCACCCATCGCACAAGGATCTTAGTCAGCACTGAGAGTCCCTGGAGTCTGGTTCTGTAATATGTTCTGATTCTAAGGTTAGGAAAAATGCTTCTCAAGAGAAAGGGTCCCATGTCCAGCCAATGAGAGCAGTTCTGAGTAGATGTTCTTTCTATCCTCTGGTTGTCTGTTTCATTTGCTCTGCTTCCCAAATTCTATTTGTATACCTCTGGGATAAAATTCATTCAGTATTTTAAAAAATAAAGCATATCTGCTTAACACAGCTCGAAAGAAACTTCCTTTGTGCTATTTATTTTAGTAGCTGTGAGATCTACTAATGAACACTGAACCGCAGAGATTAAACTGAGGCAACCGCTCCCTACATCAGGTTTTATCCATTAAGCACGTGTGGATGTGCTTTGATGATGTAGGCTTTCCTTGTGCCTGATGGCTAACTGAGTTTGAGACAGTGGCTGTCAGAGGCTAGAAGAGGCATGATCTATGCTAGGGATGTTTTCGGACTCTGACATACCCAGCTTCACAGGGAAGGAGTCATTACTGGATCAGGATCGTGACAGTAGGCGGTTTCTAATGATGAAAACACCTTCTAATTGCTAGCCGAGTTGACAGTGAACCGAGTCCTAGTCTTTACACTCATACACTGCTCCTGTGCGGTGAGCCCACAGATTTTCATTTGTGTGTGTTCCACTGACAACATTCATTCCACTCCTAGCTGTCCCTCCATGGCCTTGCTGACTTTACCACTGGGAGCCATGGAAAGAGACAATAACATCCGTGAAGAGTCAGCTGTCAGGCCTGGCTCACTATCCACGCAATGGACTCCCCATCCTGGACCACTCCAAAACAGTGACTCAGACATGTTCTGGTTACCCATGGAGAAAACACATGTCTAAGCCATTACCCAACCACCGTTGCTCACCTGGGAACTACGACATGGCCATAAATGAATGGAAATTGCAGGCTGAGGTGGAACCCAAGTTTATAATACAGTCCCCTCAAGTAACAACAACAACAATAATAAATAGTACTAGAAACGAGTGGCATGGATTTGTGACTCTTTTAATAAACAGGATACATTTCTCAGAATCCAAACTGTGTCAACCTGTACACCTTAGAAACTACTACAGCTTCAATGTGGGATTTTGGCTATTTTAGTATAGGGATATATCAATATATTAGCCAGATCTGAAACACTGGCAGGCATCACAATGCAGGGCCTTCTGACTTCCTTACAACCTGTGCTTTCTCCAGAAACTGTCTCGCAAAGATCCAGCTTTATTACATTTTCCCATTTGTCCTTTCCTGCCCTTGGTGCTGTCCTGATATCACTGGTAGTACTCCCATCAGCCCACGGGCCACGTCCTCAGCTCTCCTCTGCACTCTAGCTGATGCTTAGTTCAGTACTGTTTCCTAATGGGGCTTCTGCCAGCACGCTGGCAGAAGGAGTTTTGAGCGATATACACGAACACTGAGAGACAGTCCCTACACCGGCTCAGATCCACAGAATGGGGTATCCAGTGGACTGGAGCTGGCCTCTCTGGACACTTTGTAGTAATTTTCATCTCATTTCTTTTTTAATCCTGTTCTTATGATACGCCCAGAATCTCCAAAGTGAATCCACAGACCTGAATCTGCCATCAGTATTGTTTGCTACCCTACAAAAGGCCCCCGTGTATTTTCTTTCCTAACAGCTCTCCTCAGGATCACCTATCAATCAACAAGAACCATAAGGAAATTAGGTTATTAAAGTTAGGTTCAACTTAAAAATAAGAAGTTTATATAGATGTTGTTTGCTCCATGAAAAGACAGATCCGGGGGCTGAGGTACTATCTTCAGAAGTCTGCCTAAATTCCTCAGCTTTGCACACGGCCCTGCCCTGTAACCTCTCACTAGGGAGTTGACACATGATGATCAAAAACTCAGGGCCCGGCCTGCAGAGAAAGACCCCACTCCAAAAGAAAAAGACACGAACAGATGACCTGTCATATATAAAACGCAGTGAATAGCTGTGTGCCCTTGAACAGAAGGTCTAGAAAGATGAGAAAATGTTGTATTGTTCTAGTTCAGGTTAACCAGAATGTCTTTTCTATGTGCAGATATGAAGAAAAAATCAGCACTACAAGAATTAATACAGCCTTAGGCTTATATATCTAGGGTTTACACAGACCCTACCTAGGCCTTCAGCATGGCAATGCTGGTTAACGATGTTATAGAATGAAATACTATAATATTTGCTAGTGATGATAGACAGAAAAAATATTACAGGTTCAAGACCCGCATAGAGCCTCAAGTTAATCTTAAATCAATTTCTGAATCAAAATCCAGAAACTGAATCTTAGAGGAGGAGTATAGTGAGAATTTTGGTTTCTTTAAAAATACAGAAATATGTACAGATTTTTGTATGATTATCTTATATTGTATGTCTAATATCCACTTATAAGTGAGTATACACCATGTGTGTATTTCTGCATCTGGGATAGCTCAAACAGGATGATCTTTTCTAGTTCCCACCATTTCCTTGCAACTTTTATGATTTCCTTGTTTTTAATTGCTGAGTAGTATTCCATTGTGTAAATGTACCACAATTTCTGTATCCATTCCTCAATTGAGGGACTTCTGGGTTGTTTCCAGATTCTGGCTATTACAAATAAAGCTGCTACAAACATGATTGAGCAAATGTCCTTATTGTATACTTGAGAATCTTTTGGATATATGCCTAGGAGGACCCTGGGTAAGATGCTCAATTTTCATTCAGAAAGGCAAAAGGGATAGACAGAGGAAGAAGGTGAAAACAAGGAAGAAGACAGAAGCCCTACCACAGAGGGCCTCTGAAAGAGTCTACCCAACAGGGTATTAAAGTGGATGCTGATACTCATAGCCAAACTTTGGGCAGAGTGCTGGGAATTTTATGAAAGAAGGGGGAGATAGAAAGACCTGGAAGGGTCTGGAGCTCCAAAAGGAGAACAACAGAACTAAAAAATCTTGGCACAGGGCTCTTTTCTGAGACTGATACTCCAACTAAGGACCATTCAGGGAGATAGTCTAGAATCTCTGCACAGAGGTAGCCCATGGCAGCTCAGTCTCCAAATGGCTTCCCTAGTAAGGGGAATAAGGGCTGTCTCTGACAGGAACTCAGTGGCTGGCTCTTTGATCACCTCCCCTTCAAGGGGGAGCAGCCTTACTAGGCCACAGAGGAAGACTATGAAAGACAGCCCTGATGAGATCTGATAGGCTAGGGTCAGATGGAAGTGGACTGGAGAAGGGGCATGGGAAGAAATGAGGGAGGGAGGGCAGAATTGGAAGGGGATGAGGGTGGAGCTACAGCTGGAATACAAAGTGAATAAATCGTAATAAATAAAAAATTATATTAAAAAAACACAGAAATATAATGGGAATATGTTTTTGTTATCCCCTGGGTGTGGGATATGAGGCTGTTTCATATTGTCCACAGAAGCTGACTATGATTTGCCTCATGTTCTGACAGCAGCTTGATTTTGCCATCTGCAGAGTGTATAACATTTGGAATTCTGGGGATTCTTGAGGGTATATAAATGCTAGAGCTCCAAGAAGAGTGATGGCAGCTGCTGCTGCTCTCCTTCTCCTCTTCCTCCTCCTCCTCCTGCTGGTGGTGGTGGTGGTTTCTGGATGCTGTTGGTGCATTTGGTTGCTGTTTGTCACAAAGAGATGAGTGGAAGAAATTGAACATCATGATGGCAAAGATCAAACTTGCCCCAAGGAATTCGACACCCCTAATAAGTGGGAAGTAGTCTGCTAATATCGATGCCCTGTATCCCCTCAAACCTTCTCTCTCTCCTACGTAGGGTTGGGTGGTTAGAAGGATGGAATTAAGGTAGAGAATGCTGGTAGAAAAAGAAACCCACAAAGTAGCCAAAAGCCCAGCTACAGAAGACACACACTCAGCTTTATGCAGACGACTTTCACAGTACAGATGAGTTTATTGCTACTAATCTTCCTAAGCTTGACCACACCTTCCATTTTAGAATACAATAAATAGCTTTCAGAGCACAGAGCAAATGATCCCTATTCTTTAGATTGCTTTAGCCCTGCCCAGTTCTTATGCTAGATGAATGCCATTCTAGTCATGGTGTGAGACACTATCACAGCCATAGCTGCCACCTTAGAGAACTAACGGGACACTCAGAGAATGGAGCTGGTATTGACCTAGCCCTGCTGGATGGCAGCTTTGTATCCTGTGAATCTCGGTTGTGTGTGTGTGTGTGTGTGTGTTGGAAACTTGATGAAATGGAAACTTTCTTTTCAATGTAAGGAAAGAAGTAATTTGAAAAGATAGATTGCCAGCACTTTGAGAAACCCAAGCAAGCCACCTCAAGTATGTATTCTATTCATCAGTACAATAATTTGTTATCTTACTCAACCCTCATATCCCCCTTATAATCTGTATTAGGGTTCATTAGAGAAACAAAGTGGACAGAGTAAATATGAATTTTAAAGGGATTTATTATGCTACCACACAAGATGTAGTCTGAGTAGTCAAACAATGGTCGTCTCACACTGAAAAACCAATAGCCTTATAATTAATCAGTCCACCAGATTGATTATCACAGCAGTTTCAAGC